TATTCCGTTCTTAATCATGGCTTCAGGCCCAATAATTATATATCAAAAACGTATCAAAAATACAATTCATATAATTAATATTTATATATACATATTATTTTTTAAAAAAATTATAATTATCTAGTCATTTAATAATTTGTGTATATCTATTAATTTTCTATTAGTATTAAATAAATTTTAAAAAATAATTAACCATTAAAATATATAGATAAATGAGGAAAATAACTTTTGGTTTTCCTATATGGATATAGTTGTGAAAAAAGAAGTCAAAATTTATTAATTTTTATTAGTTTTAAATAAAAATAAATTTAGATAAATAAATTATTCAATTAAAATGCATAAGTAGATGAATGAATAAATTTTTAATTTTAGTATTATTAGAAAAAGTAATAATTATCTAATTATTTAATAATATGTATATATCCATTAATTTTTAATTAATATTAAATAAATTTTAAAATATAAATTATCAATAAAAATATGTAAATAAATGAAGTAATAACTGTTAAAAGATAGATATCTTTGTGAGAAAAATATATCTTTGTGAGAAAAATAAAAAGGCATATATATAAATTAGATTTTTTGTTATCTGAAAATAAATTTTAAAAAATAAAGTTGTCCAATTCAAATATATAGATAGGTAATAGAAAAATTTTAAATGGGAGATATAATTTTGAAATAAAAAAATTATAATTTTCTTGTTATATTTATTTTTAAATATAATTTTCAAATTAGATAAAATAAAAGATAATGGTATGATTATAATTTTATTTTAAATTTATAAAATAAATAAAAATTAATTTGTAACCGACTATCGAATATTGATAATAATATTAGCAATTGTTCTCCTGTGCTTCCATGTATCTCCTTTTCTAGCTGCAGCTCCAAGCATAAAAAAAAAGTTATCTTAACAAAATATGTAGATACAACAGGAAAAATTATTAATTGATAAACATGGTTTTGAAATTAAAGATAATAGTAATTGCTTTTAAATCAAAATATTTGATAAGTTTTTTTCCTTTTTATTTTTTATTTTTGTCCTTGTAAACATTTAACTTCAAATAGAATAAATAATAGATGATCATGACATGGCTATAAGCACATTCCAACACTGCCATAGGGAACAGTTGTTCAGACTGTGGTTGTGTTGAACAGTGGAAGTTATAAGGGTAGTAGAGTTGTCCATAGGCTGACTATGGTTACTTGTGCTTGTGTTGATTTTCACTGTAGGAGTTAGTTGATGATGATGGTAATGTGACTGTGACATAGCTAGAGATTCTTTTTTTCTCTTGGTGGTAGTCTTTTTAATTACCTTAAAAGAATTGAATTTATGTACAGATATAGGCACATAAGGTCTTGCTGGAATGATACTAAAATTGTATTATAAAAGCAAGAAATGTGAAAAATATGCAGATGATCCTTTCCGATCCTTCAAGCATCTGGGATATATTGCTCCAGAAAAAAAAAAAAAAAAAGAAAAAAAAAAAAAAAAACAACGCCGTATTGCGGTATTTGGGATATTATTTACTTGAAGCTCGTAATTCCTATTTTATTATTTTTTTATACTCTTTGGTTGCATTTCTGCACACCCATTAGAACTTGGACATCTATGTTTATTTCACAATCATTCATTGCAACATTGCCTTTTTATCTTAAAAACCTCAATTCGTTTTTAAAATATAAACAACATAGCAAATTTAAGAAAAATATGATACAAATACATTTTATAGTGAATTACTTTTTGAGGTAGAAATTATATATAATAAGGTGTTTAGCTAAATTTTAGGTTTATTCAAAAATTAAGATAGCTGGATTAAATTGGATGGTTAAATTAGGTTTTATCATTATATATTAAATATTATATTGAAAAAATTTATTACAGAATAAAAAAAGACAATTGCTAATATAAATAATATAGATAATGTAGATAATATGTTTAAACTTTAAAATTTTTAATCATTATCAAAAGTGTTACATATTTTATATAGATGGATAATATTATCATTAAATTAAATATTAATTGTAGCCAATCATAAGTACAAAAAATAAAGAAAATTTTCAAAATTTTCTAATAAAAGAAAATAGGTTGTTAAACAAAGAAAGAGCCTCAAACTTTCTCTCTGTCTCAGAATTCATATATATATTTGGACTTCATTAAACTCGTAAAAATAATTGCTAATAAAATTATTTTTTCAAATTAATATTTTTGTAATTTTTATTTATAGTTAATTATTTTTCAATTAATATTTTGTAATATTCTATTTATTAGTTATTTTAAAAATAAAAAATTTATTAATATTATTTAAGAAATTTTACCATTTACTACTCACATACTTATATATATACATATCACTATAGTATATATTATAATATATATGTATTATTTTGTTAATGATGGTTTTATATTTTAACAACAACTACTATGAAAATTTTACTTACAGATATTCATCAGTTAATCGCTCATCAGCCATCAGCCACTAATTATCAACAACTGTTATCAGACGCTGGGTCTCTCTTCTCCTTTCTTTCTTCTCTTTTTTTTTTTTTAGAGAATTTTCTGATTGGTTGATAGGGTTTGGGTCGATTCGAGTCTAGCTTGGTTTAGATCATGGTTTTGGCTTGGTTTTCAATTGATTTATGGGTTTTTCCATCTGGTTTTTGAAAAATTCAAGCTGATTAACGAGTCCGATTTAATAATAATTAAATATTTGTTGCATAACCTCATTGGTTGATTTTAAAACTTTAGTTTTTAAATGAAAATTTTATAAAATAATTTATTCGGTTCGTTTCACAAACCCATTTGTTAATATTTAAAACAAACCCATTTGTTAATATTTAAACTTGCGTAAACTCTATGCTGAAATTGTTCATTATTATTTTTAAATTAATTAATGATTTAATTGATTTGAATTATACAATAACCTTTACCGGCTATTTTTCAATTAATTATTTTAAAATTATTACCATTTTATATTTTTACCCTTATGCTATAAAAACAATCAACTCTAACACTGTACTAAGGTATCTAGCGTGTAGTTTAATTGTACCCTAAATTCAATTTTATTTTCCTAGTATTTCAATTTTAATTATAATAGCATCTTAATTTTAAATTATACCAAATTTAATCAATAAAATATTATTTTCTTGAGACCCACACTATTTATGATGATTTTACTGCTTAAAATAAATTTTATTTATATAAATATTAAAATAAAAATAATATATTATATGTAAAAACTAAAAATATTATTTTTATATAATATTGAATGATTTCCTACCAAATAAACTGACTCATATTTATAATGAATAAAAGTTAGTTTTATAAGAAATTCTTTTTATAAGAAATCTAATTTAAATATAATTCCAATAAATCCGAACTAAAATTTTCATGCTTAAAAAATAGTAAAACAAAAAACTTAAACCCAACTAAAATTTCATGTTTAAAAAACAACAAACAAAAAACTTAAACTAATATTCTATGTTTATAATTAATTTAAGTATAAAGGAAACATATTTCCATATTTGCGTTCAAAGAATATAGGTCCAACCAAAATAGTATTTTATTTATTAAATTGGGTCTAATTAGGAATTATGGTACTATTGTAACTAAAATTTAAATTTAGGGTATCGGGAGAAGAAAGTTAGATTTATAATACAATTAAAACTACTATGAGATTTTTTTTAATGATTTAGCCTCTATATTGTGTTAATATTTGTTTAGAAGTATTCTAAAGATACAATATATCCATGCATTTGTATGACTCTGATATTATAATTTTTTAAATGATTAAGAAATAAAAATTATAGATTTAGAATTTCCTTCTCATTCATTTGCAAGTATAATGATAATTATATAATTATATAAATATTATAATCAGTAAACCTTCTTAAATAAAATAATAATTGAATAAATTAATTTATAGCAAATTTATTAATATGGATGTTTTGGTCTTTCTATTAATTCTTTATTCTATTGATTCTATTATTTTTAGCGACTAAAAACATGAATATAATCTAGAATAAAAATTTAATTCCCCTTAATAATAAATGACCAATATTTAATGTCAAAAAAATAAAAAATAAAAAATAATTCCCCATTTCATCCCTCCTTCCCAACTAAAGGCGGCCTTACTTTTAAGATTCCATGATTAAAAAGCATTAGCAAACAAAAATTTTCAGAAAGCACCACCATCTATTCTATCGTTGACCCATTTTCTCCTCTCTCGCTTAGCTTAGCTTCAAATGGCAAAAAACCCATTCGTATTTCCCTCTACGTTTTCCAATTCTCAATCATCAATTCCATCTTCTTCTTCTTCTCCGTCACCATCTTTTAATTCGTCTTCTTCATATCCATCTTCTCCAAGTCTGAATTCCCCTTTTCAGCCTTCTCATCAAAGTCTTCCCTTACCGCCTCTTCTCATCAAAGTCTTCCCTTACCGCCTTCCCAAACTTCTTCAAGCCATTTCAGCTTGCCTTCTAAGGATGTTGTCGGACCTTGCGCCGCTTGCAAAATCCTTCGCCGGCAATGCACCGACAAGTGTTATTTAGCTTCCTATTTTCCTTCAACTACTGAACCACATAATTTCACTGTCGTTGATAGTCGCTTCGGACTCAGCGATGTCCACGAGTTCCTGCAGGTATGATTTTGAATTACTCCTTAATTAGAAAACAGTTTTATACCAAATTGAGTTCATCATTATCTATTTCTTGGTGTCTCTATTGGGACGGAATTATCATAATTTGAGGCCGAAGCTGGCTAGATTCCATTGCAATGAATTTGTAAAATCTTGTACAATTGATTTAGAATTTTACATTTTCTAGTTGGTATGAATGACTTTAGTTTTATGAAGTTGAAAAGTTACACCAAATTCCATTTTTATAAATGAATTCTACGTCTTCGAGTCATTTAACCAATTAAGGGCAGTGTGGTTTTGGAAAAATTCAAAGTTATACCTCAATGAATTTGAAATAAAATTTTGTTAATTTTAGTTGTATCAGATTGAATTTAGGAATCAAAATGAAAATAAATTGCAAGTTCAGGTACCGCTTGACACAATTAGTCCAATCTAGAATTAGTCTTTTCAGAATGAGATTAAATTTGCACATCACGAGTTAAAGAAAAAGTATTAACATTAGTTTGATCACAATGTTGTCTATTTTGCAGCGGAACAGCAATTCTTCATCTTACGTTCCACTATTATTGTTGTTGAGAGACACAAGTAAAGATGGAAATCAGCTCCAGGCAAATCCCAGCAACAATGGCAATATTGTTCCATATCGAACTAATGTTAATATTAATGGCAAACCCATGCTTGCCAATTCTGAAAACTCAAAAGCTCATTCATACAGTAGCTCTTCAAAGCCTCTAAATATGTTTGGAACTAATGATACAGGCACTCTTACATCTCCAGCAAATCAGTTAGGGGAGGGGATAATAATAATCTCGACTTGCAGGCTGATATGGTGGGTCTAAATCTGAGTATGTGTCTAAAAATATGCTTAAGGTAATGAATATGATCGAAGCTGATAAAGCTTGCTCGTAACATAAATACTGTAAATTGTCATTAAACACCGTTGAAGTAAATTCTGTTCGCAGCAAGTGCAGGCAAAGTAGTTTAGTTTGCGACTTGTCATCAGATGGAAAATTTGCTTTGCCAGTGGTGCGGACATTGATAACAAGGTGACCAGCGCGAAAATTGCTTGCCAGTGGTGGACATGATAACAAGGTGGTATTGTGGGATACAGAAAGAGAAAATTTAAAGTCGAAGACCATCCTTGAAGAACATTCATCACTGATTACAGATGTTCGTTTTAGTCCAAGTATGCGACAGCTCGTAACATCTTCATTCGATAAAACTGTCAAGGTCTGGGATACAAATGAGATCCCAATAACTCAATATGCACATTTAGAGGACATTCTAATTATGTCATGTCAATAGATTTCCACCCATTTAAGGATGATCTTATTTGCTCTTGCGATGGGAATAGTGAACTGCGTTACTGGAGTATTCAAAATGGTACTTGTCTAAAAATATCAAAGGGTGGTGCAGCCCAAATAAGATTTCAGCCGCGTCTAGGGAGGTATCTTGCCGCTGTTAATGAGAATGTTGTAAATATATTTGACGTTGAGACACAGGCTCGTGTGAATTCATTTCAGGGACAGCATGAGCAAATTCACTCTCTATGTTGGGATCCTTCTGGAGAGTATCTAGCGACTGTAAGTGTGCGCTCAGTTAGACTCTGGTGTCTCCAGTTAGGGAGTGTATTGAAATGTGTTCATGTCTTGAGTTGTGTTAGCAACAAATTCCACTCCTGTGTTTTCCATCCTACATACCCTTCTTTGCTGGTCATTGGTGGTGACCAATGTCTGGAGCTTTGGAATATTGGTGAGAGAGAGACTATGACTCTGCCTGCTCATGAAGGAGTAATTAGTGCGTTAGCTGTATCACGTTGGACAAGGTTGATTGCTTCTGCTAGCCATGATAAGTTTATCAAACTTTGGAAGTAATGTAAACATCTCTCCAAGCATTTTTATAATTGTCATTTGACTATTTTCAACTTAAAAATCTTTCTTTTCTTTTTTTTTTTTTTTTTTTTTTTTTTTTTTATTTGACATGCAAAGGTAGAAATGTAATTAAGTATGGTTTGATATTGACTTCGAAGTTCAATTGTGACGATCTCTTGAGATCTTATCCCCGTCCAATCTGCAGGGTAGGTCGCACTGCCTTAGAAGCATAATTAATACCTTTGATATATGACATTAGAAGCATAAATTCACAAGTGTTTTTTTTTTTTTTTTCCTTTTTTCTTTTTTTCGAAAATTATAATCTTATCTTCATATCTTATTGAAAATAACTATTTTGGATATGTCTTTCTAAAAATAAATTATTTTATGATTTAATCTTTATGTTTTGCTAATTTAAATAGTTTGTCTTTCCGTGCATATTAATAAAATTTTTCTATTTGTCAGACCACAAAAACTCGATAAAAAGTGAGAGATACAAATTTTATAATTAAAATATCCTTAGAAAAAGAATGAGAAAATTCCATTCCTTCTTTTTCTCTTTTATGCTCTTTCAACTCTCAAAGAAATTCCTCAAAAAATGGTAGAGAAAAAAAAAAATAACAATGCTTTGTTGGGGTCCTTTATTAGTGTCTTTTCTTCAACAAGACATGTATGAGAAAAAAAATAAGTTTGAAGTATTGACTCACAAAGTCAAAAGAATTGACCAAAATTGAAAACAAACTCCGAAATTTAGGTTTTTTTTTTTTTTTTTTTTTTTTTTTTTTTTTTTTTTTTTAATCATTAGGTCTTTTTTAAATCATTATGTATGTCCATGTGGTTTTGAGATGGCAATATGTGGATCTCACTGACAACCATGTCAAGCGAGCTTCTAACACTTCTTGAAAGGAGGCTATAGTTGCTACAAAAACTAAGTTCAATGCTGTAATTGATAAAATTAAAAAACAAAAGGGCCAAAATTGAAAAGAACTTATAAGTTTAGGTTTTTTTGAAGTCATTAAGCCTAATGTAAATTACAAATTAAATAAATTTATTTAAAAATCCTATTAGTAAATAATATAATACTTCATCTATTAAAAATTGTAAAAAAAATAAAACAAATGTGCGTGTATATATATAGGAAAAAAATTAAATTTAATTGAGATATAATTAAATTAAAAATACGAAAATATTATTTTATCTGGCTTGATAATTAGATATTATAAAGGAGATATATAAGTCCAGCTTTAGAGTATTATATTTTAAATTTTTTATTAAAAGAAAAAGGCATTATAGGTTTAAAAAATTAAGAGTGTTCATGATATTTAGTATACTTTTTAAAATTCAATTATATAAAAACATAACAACGTTACGTTTTAACATATAATTATTTATTAAAATTACAAGTAATTTATTTTGGGTATGAATTGTTAGTAAATAATTATTTACCTTTGAAATTTATATTTTTCTTATAGTTGTGTAACTTATGTTCTCCTTTAGATTTACACGTTTAAATAGTCACTCCATCTCATGTTATTTGCATGGTTAAAAAAAAAAACACCATTATTAGGAATTTAGTCAATAAAAATTATTTTACCTTTTTTTACCCTTAACTTATTAAGATATTTATAAAAGTCTTACATTTAATGATCATAAATGTTATTATGAGAAAAATAATTATTTACATATCTAAATTTGAAAATCTTACAAATATTTTGGGACATCCAAAAAGAAATAGCAAGCAAACAAAATGTGCTGGAGGAGTAATTACTTTCATATTTAAATATTTAAAAAATTAGATATGAAATAAAAAATAAATACATGATTTTTCATAATCTATTCTATATGTAATAAGTCATGAGTGTACATCTAATTGTTCATAATTAAATCTTTCAAATCTAAAGATGACAAAAAAAAAAAAATGTATCAATTGAGAAAGTTTCACTTCTCCATTATAGTTTTATAATATATGTTCATCTGATAAGATTTTACTTTTCTAGCCAGAGGGCGCTTATGACTTCAACCACACTGTTGGATTTTTCAGGCGCAAAAGCATAGAGGGGTACTCTTTTTTTTTTTTTTAAGCTACAGTTATTCGGATTCTATTATTAGGGACCGCCTAATCCAGTTTTGGGTTTAGTCACAATTAAGGCTCATCGCCCCTTCCTACAAGTGCATTTTATAGAGATCAAATCCAAAAGCTCTTTCTACTTATCCAGCCTGCATTACCAACTGAATTACAACCTATAAGTACGTAGGAGTACTTTTTGGTAAGTCTAACTTAAAATGTCATGGTCACCATTTTGAAGCCTCTGTCTTAAAATGTCATGGTCACCATTTTGAAGCCTCTGTCTGAAATGCATGTGTTATTCAATTTCATTCACTTCCAATGGTTTCGGCGACTTTCAACCTAATATCTTTCTCCATAAAGATTTATATCGTGAATTAGAAGTCAAACATATGATCTATGACTTATGACTTCGAGTCATTCCATGTCGAAGTCTTATGAGCAGAATTTCAAAGGGATATCCTTTGATCTAAACAATCTTGTAATTAGTTTAGCTTTTAAACTAATATCTTTTGCCTGTAAGAGGCCAGCTTAGGTAACTACTTCTATATGCAAACCTAGAACATCATGGTTAGGGTTGTAAATGAACCGAGTTGTACTAAGTCAAGTTGAAATTTTATATTTAGCTCGAATTTGACTCGACAAAGATATACTTAAAAATAGCTAAGTTCAAACTTGATCCGATACCATACATGAGCAAAGTTTAATCTTGAGTTCAAAATTTATCAAATTAAAAAAATGACATCATTTTAATGCCAATTTAATTAATCTTAGGTTATTGAGCAAGCTCACGAGACAGCATGTGAGCTCGGTTCGACCAAATTGGCTCGCAAGCTAAATGAGTCAAGCTCAAGCTTGAGGTTATCTCATTTATTTAACAAGTTCGACAACTCAATTCAATAAATTGTTTGAATGAATTCGAGTGAGCTTTTATCAAATCTGCTCTCAAACAACTCACGAATTATTCAACTCATTTTACAGCCTTAATCATGGCCACCATGAGAACTTGTCTCATCATTTTGATGCTTTGTTTGAGATATTTATTAAATATGTTGATTAAAGATCATTAAATTTTATTTTTAAGGTGAATTTTCAAAATTTTAATCGTAAATATTATAAACCAATTAAACAGTAATCCAATTTTTTTAATAGCGTCTAAAACTATGTTACAGTAATCCAATTCTTTTAATAGCATCTAAAACTATGTTTTCTGTAAAATAATTTTGAACGTAATATCAAAAAGATCCAATTAGCTCTTCGGGAATGGAATTAAACAAAACAAAAATAACATTGCTTAAAGGAAGAGGAGTTCTGCTAACTACATATGAATGATACCCTTTCCCTTACTTTGAAAAACATATTTAGATTCATCTTATGCCAACCCAATTTGTCAAAACAAAAATAACATTGCTTAAAGGAAGAGGAGTTCTGCTAACTACATATGAATGATACCCTTTCCCTTACTTTGAAAAACATATTTAGATTCATCTTATGCCAACCCAATTTGTAGGATTGGCCGCAATGCCTTAGCCTCCAATTACTTTCTTTTTCACTCCGTCCTTAATAATAGGCTAATTTTTCTTTTTCACCCGTGCCATAATCTGGGCAATTTCCTTTTTAAAACTACTATATATTTAATACTAGTTTATTATTATACTTTAAAAAAAAAAAATTAAACTAGAAATTTCGTTAAATAGAAATTGTATACAAATATAAAATACAGATCAATATGTTTTTATATTTTTATATAGAAAGTCTAATAATAAACCACTTATACAAAGAATAAAAAAATACAATCTTGATTTAAAGTATGTGATCGAGTTGACAGAACATAATATTTGTGTCATAGGCGATCGCTTGCTCCACTTGGTGGCTTTTCATGGCCACTGTTCGACTTCATGGT